ACAATAGAAGTGGCTTATTAAGAAATATTGCATTGTCCCCATCTCAAGGGATTTGCATTTGAAGTAATTAGAAGACTTCCTGAAAGGCTCCCATTGATTCGTCAACCAATGGGGATGTATTTGAACTGTAAACAGAAGCTGAGGTTACCATGGCATACCCTTCTGCCAGCCAGCGATTGATATTCTTGGCAAATAGTGTGTCTGGGGAAACGCACTGTTTCTCTGACTCCTTGGAGCAAAGTAACTTTTCCTCAATATGGCTTTTCCAAGTCCTTTTTCCAAGGCAAAGGATTTGGATCCTCAAATTCACTCAAGGAGGTATGTTCCACAATTGGCTTCCATACGTTGTTAGTGACTATGGGCGTTGAGACTATTGATAGAATTTTGCTCAAAACGCCCTCCCTACAGGATGTTCTCACAAGATGTAAGGCAGAGTTATAAACCTCTTGAGGTGTATTTAATTTTTTCAGATGTACTTGACTTACAACTTGAAGCCTAGAATTTGTCAGACTGTGTAATCTCAGATGTGCAACACAGCTTGATGCTTCCAGTAGAAAAGCTGTCAAAAATAAACACAAAAAGAACATTGCAGGCCAGTAGGAAAGTCCTAAAAATGAATTTGTCATATTTTTGTGGTGCTATAATAGCTGCTGGGTTTTTTTTTAAGTATCTTTATATAACATGCTTGGTTTATTATCTCTGATCAGTTTGAATCTAGTTATTGCACAGCTTTATTTTGGCTTGTTTTCTGAAAGGCAACCTAAAAGGATTCTTAAATCCTTTTCTGAACTTTAGAAATGGAATTTATAGTATATTTTGTAGTCCCTGCTTCAGCTATTCTTAGAAATTCACCGGCCAGGATATGGAGATTCTCTGACTCAATAGCTCAGTGTCATAGTGTAGTTGAGCACACCAAGACTATGAGATGGACATTCTGAAGAACAATTACCTGCAAGAAAAATAGGGAGGTAATACATGCCCATGGAATATCAGAAACAGGATCCCACTCCTATGAATCTTCACAAAAACCACATATTTCCATGAAGGATTTGAGTCCATGTGCATACTTTAAGGCAGTATATTTGCAAGACAATAATAATGTTGAATTCAAGCTCTTTTAAAATGCCTTCTGCACTGTAATTTAGGCATTCCACAAACTAGTGCCTGTTAGATATATAAGGCCCAATCACATCTGACATCGTAGCTAAATCTATAATGGTTGGATATTTGTTTGTTTGTTTATTTATTTATTTATTTCCCACCTTTATGTTTTTACAAATAACTCAAAAGTGGTGAACACACAGTTTCTTTCTTCTATTCAGCTGAGAGACAGTAACTGGCCCAAAGTCACCCGACTGGGTTTTATGGCTAGGGTGGGACATGAACTCATAGCCTCTAGCTTTCCCAGCCTAGTGCCTTAACCATTATACCAAACTGGCTGATGAGAAATGTAGTCTTTCAAGGTCATGCTCTGTTGGAGAGAGTTACTGTAACAGCTTTGCTATAAAAGTGATTTTATTTCAATGGGATTATTTGGAAGGGACTTAACTGGATCATTCTTAAAGCTGACAGATAAATACAGGTAGCCCTCAACTTACGACCACAATTGAGCCCCAAAATTCTGTTGCTAAAGGAGACATTTATTAAGTGATTTTTGCCCCATTTTACAACCTTTTTTGCCACAGTTGTCAGGTGAATCACTGCACTTGTTAAATTAGTAACACGGTTGTTAAGTGAATCTGGCTTCCCCGTTGATGTTGCTTGTTGATCACATGACCTCAAGACACAGCAGCCGTCATAAATATGAGTCAGTTGCCAAGCATCTGAATTTGGATCACATAACCACGGGGAAGCTGTAATGGTCGTGTGAAAACCGGTCATAAGTCACTTTTTTCAGTGACGTCGTAACTTTGAACAGTCACTAAACGAACTGTTGTAAGTTGAGGACTACCTGTAGATATAATAGATAAAACAATATAGAAGTCAATCTAAATTTTTAGTTGGTAAAGTAGCATTAAATAAAACATTGAAGTAATGAATTTTGACATTTATTTATTTATCAACAGTTCTTCTATAACATTGATACAGGTAGTCCTCGACTTATGACCACAACTGAGCCCAAAATGTCTGTTAAGTGAGACATTTGTTAAGTGAGTTTTGCCCAATTTTATGATTTTCCTTGCCACAACTATTGAGTGAATCACCACAATTGATAAATTAGTAACACGGTTGCTAAGTGAATCTGGCTTCCCCATTGACTTTGCCTGTCAGATTATAAAAAGGGATCACGTGACCCCTGGACACTGCAACTGTCATAAATATGAGGCAGTTGCCAAGCATCTGAATTTTGATCATGTGACTATGGGGATCAGTCGTAAGTGTGAAAAATGGTCTTAAGTCACTTTTTCAGTGCTGCTATAACTTTGAACGGTCACTAAACAAACTGTCATAAGACGAGGACTACCTGTAGTTACAGAGCATCCCAAAGCGATTTACAAATTCTAAAAACCTTTTAAAATAAACCAGGTAAAAGCAATGTATTAAAAGACAACGTCAGCCATGTTCCAGAACATTTGAAAAACTGATTTATTCCCTCTGGTATTGGGGTAAGATATTAGGTGAATTCTGCTGTAGAGCTGTATCATATCTTTTTGAAAACCTTGGCTCCATTGTTTAAATGTTGCTATTGTGGTTTTTATTGCGATTGCTGTGTTGTATATGGTGCTTTTTTAAGTGTTAGCTTTTCAGAAACAAGAGTGAGAACTGGAGGAAATCAGCATAGAATGGTGGTGTTACAAAACTCTTGCAAGTCTGTAATGGTATATGGCAGGGATAGGCAACCTTAGCTCTTTTATGACTCGTGGACTTCAACTCCCAGAATTCCTGAGCAGCATGGCTCAGCTTGGAAACCTCTCCCTTTCCCCTCAGCATGGCTGGCTCAGGAATTCTGGGAGTTGAAGTCCACGAGTCATAAAAGAGCCAAGGTTGCTTACCCCTGGTATATGGGAAAGACCTTGGGAGATTGGGTGAGGAGACAATGCTAAGGGAGCAGTCAGATAAGTTACAGCATAGCCCACAACTGCATAATGGGATGAGCAAGAATATCAGAAGAGACCTTGCCTAGTTTCTCAGACGGTAAAGGAGATGGTGTGGGAAATTATACTTTGAGACCTGCAAGATTCTGTCAGTGTAGATTTACAATAACGTAGAATTAGCTCATCTGGTGATGATTCCTATCTGGTTTATCCTGCAAGACTGATAAAACCACACCAACATGGGCATGGGGCTTACTATCCTGCCAGAAGGGTATTCCAGATGTCTTCATGTAGAAAGTTGCCCTTTGCCATTGCCAAGAGGCAGCCCATGGCATGGGAGAACAGGAGCTCCTCTGAAAAGTAAAAGTGTCTAGGAAAGAGATATAATTCAAGATGTTATAACACATATATTGATCCTGAATTAGTTAGGGCTTTACTTATGTCAACATTTTTAATCTGGCAGAGTCGTACCAATAGAAACCTGTTAACACTAGTATAACATGTGGTGGTTTTTAGCCACCCCACCCCCCACCAAGGAATAGCATAAACAAGAGAATTCAGCATTTAATTGTAGCTTCCAGGCCAGACTCAAGACCATCATTGACTCATAGTGTGAAATAGCATTAAATAAATTTGCAAATGTTTGGTATGAATCAGTAGTGGGATTCAGCCAGTTTGCACCACTTCGGCAGAACCGGTAGCTAATTTTTTGTTGCCCAGGCCCAGAATGGACTTCCGGAAGCGGCATCCACACAGTTGTTCCCATATTTGAATCCCACCGCTGGTATGACTGTAAAGTTAGCATTATAGAGATCTTTTGTAAAAGACACTGAGAAATTCATTCAGATGTTAGCATGGATTGCTTTGTCCTACACCACCCTCTTTTGGCCAAGATCTGTCTCGCAATTTGGGCTGTTTGCAATTAAAAGGAAGTTTATCTGAGTCTTTGTAAAAGAGGCTTTTGGGAATCCTCGTATGATTTTTTCCTTCATAAACAATTTTCAAGGTCTACATGAAACCGTCTCTCAGTACCAGCACGTTGGGAAAGATTTGGTGAGGATGTGCTCTGGCAAATACAGCTGCTTTTTTTCTATCCTAATCTCCATGTTTCAGACACTCACTTTCTCCAGATTGGTTCCCAGAAAACAATTGGACAGTGTGTTTTGGGAAAATTAAAATAAAAACTCCATTTTTGTCCCTGTAATCCAGGCTTGTCAAACTCCAGGCCCACAGGCCGGATGCGTCACGCCAAAACCGCGCCCACCTCATTGCCGGCAATGGGGGGAAAGTCACGATACATTGTGTGACGTCATGTGACGTCGCGAGTTTGACATACCTGCTGTAATCCCTTAATTCAGGGTAGAGTCGGGACAACTAGACGGAGCTGAGAGTTTATTGGCCAGATGCCCTTCCCGACGTCATGCAGCACATATTTTCTCTTTATACCCTACGAAAAAAACTTGTGCCATTACCTAGGATTGAACTCTCAACCTTCCAAGTGTGAGGTGGGAGTCTTCACCGTTAGGTCACCACGGTGCTCAAACAGTGTTTCCCAATCTTGGCAACTTTAATTCAATACTGGGACTTGAAGTCCACGAGGAGGAGGAGGAGGAGGAGGAGGAGGAGGAGGAGGAGGAGGAGGAGGAGATTAGCAGCAATTGAAAAAATTAGCCAAGCCCTCCAGCAGCTATCTTTATTGAATACACACCTTCTGTCCATGATGAATATTCATAGCAAGGAGTCTGGTCTCCAATGGAGACAGTAAACACACAGGGCTAATCCAGGCTCCCTGTCTTTTGTTTCAGCTCTGCAGGAAAGCTCAGCAATTTTTTTAAAAAAATCCTTTTAGTAAAGGGTAAAATCCCTTTACCTGCCATTGTCTGTTATGTGTTCAGAAAGCTTTATGATGCGGTGTGGCTTTTAGAAACAACAAAGAAATACTACTTTTATTTCCGGAACACATACATATATACAGATTGCCAGTCACTGTTTCACAGCACCTGAGTCTTCTTTTTTTTAATGCATTGAAACTTGTTTCAAGTCCCTGTGCAATGTGCACTGTCCAAAAATAGATTGCTGGGTCCTCTCACAAGTGTGATCCGAAACCGCTCAGGAAACTTCGGAATTAATCATGCATTTCTCTTGCTTATTTAACATTTATGTCAAAACGTTGGGCAAGAAGTTGCTGAATTGGTGAACATACTGCATTCTGGCTAACACTTCCCCACACTTTTTTTCTGGGTTGATCCAATTTTAAGTAGTATAAACAGTGTTTATACGATGGGAAGCGAAATAAATGGACTCAGAAGCACCACATCAGCAGGGTCTCCGTTACCGGCAACCAGCTCTGCTGGAGATTTAGCTTCATATTCTTCACTGTCATTGAGCAGCAGGTCTGGAAGAAGCCCACTTGTTACCTCCCAGAATCTGGTAAAGGCCTCAAGCAAAATCCATGGAGAAGAACAAGACGCTCTCAAGAGGGACCAGGTCCAACAAGACAAGATCTGGAGAGAGGTTGTGGAGGCTGAGAGGAAGGCCACCAAATATTGGTGAGTAACTTGGTAGTGTCTCTCTCTTAAAAGCTTTGATGTGACTGTTCGTGTTTGATTATGCTTGGGCTGACCTATGCAATGCGAGACTTGCCTGCGATTTTTATAGAATAAAAGCAATATAATCTTAGAAGAAAAGTTAAAAAAAGCAAAAGAGAAGAAAGAGAAGAGATAGAAAATAACGGGGGGGGGACAAAAAAAAGGCAGTAGTTATACAGGCACTCCTCGACTTATAACCACAATTGAGCCCAAAATTTCCATCGCTAAGCAAGGCAGTTGTTAAGTGAGTTATTTCCCATTCTACGACCTTTTCGCCCGAGTTGTTAAGTGAATCATGCGGTCATTAAGTTAAACTGGCTTCCCCCATTGACTTTGCTTATCAGAAGCCAGCTGAGATGGTTACAGCTGGGGATCATATGATCCCGTCATAAATACATACCTTTTGCTAAGGGCCCGAATTTTGATCACATAACTGTGGGATGTTGCAATGGTTATAAATGTGAAAAACGATTATGTCATTTTTTTCAGTGCCATTGTAACTTTGAAGGTCACTAAACAAATGGTTGTATGTCAAGGACTACCTGTAAATGCATGTATATAAGATATCCTCTCTACTTAAAATTACATCATAACTCCCCAGCTCCATTCCATCTTGAGGACTATGATTGTCAATAATTTCCTACTGGCTGATGACATTTTGGAACAGAAACAAAGCAGGGGAAATTGAACTATCCCTAGATACACTTGGATATCTATGCACATACACTCACACACACATATACATATACATGCATATATACATATTTATATCCATTTTCAAACAAATATAAAATAAAAATGAATAATTCATCACGTACAAAAACAAAAAGAAAACCCACATCAAATGAAAACATAAAAAGGACAAAAAAATTATGTAATTACAAATATATGCCAAGTTCGCCAGAATATACACACATAAATATACAAACATAAATATACATATGTACTTATATATTCATTGAATGTGGGTGTTATGGTTATAAGGATTAATTAAAATTTGTGATTACAAGAACCAGAATAAATGAATAGCAACATAAACTCTAATAAATACAGTATGAGTGATTCATCTCTCATCCACTAGTTAAGAATTGAAGATTATCTATCTATCTATCTATCTATCTATCTATCTATCTATCTATCTATCTATCTATCTATCTATCTATTTGTCTGTCTGTCTGTCTGTCTGTCTGTCTATCTATCTATCTATCTATGTATCTGGACTGGAATCAGTTCTAACACTGCATTTCTTTTAGGCCTTCAGATATTCACTTAAATTTTTGTTTGTCTAGTACAATTGTACTCACTTAATAAATCATAAAAGATATTATCCTTTTACATTGAAGGTATCAGAACTGGAGTTTCCTAAAGGACTATGATCCCCAGGTAAGTTAAAATCCAAACACGAATGTTAAAAATACTGACATGTTTGAAACAGATTTTTTTTCCATATTTTTATATAATATATTCATCCTGAATTAACATAGTCATAGTTCAGAATGGTCAAGGATGAACAGAGATGATGCTTTACACTCAGTGGGTCCATATATCATGTTAGACAGTGGCTTATTTTTACATGGAGGAGAGAACAAGCTGCAATAGCTTGATTCACAAAAGCAGCTTATGCTCTTATCCAGCGAAGGCTCAGCACAAAATGTGGAGGGTTCTCTTGCCCTTCTCTGAATTGGGAAAGATGCTAAGAGAATCTCCCAAAACGCTATTCTAAAGTTAGGCAAAAGTGAGGGATGCCAATTCAACAATGATAGACTTTATTGCCCTTATGCCCTTCTCATTTTTCATTTAAGCCTGCCTAGGATTTGGGCAGGGGCATTCTCAGAGATTAAAAAAAAAGATGCCAAGATGGTAGCCATTACCATGACAATGGAGCTCCACTCTTTTTTAAGGTTGCCATGACCTACTTTTTTAATGGGCTTGATTGCATGGCTGTGGTCCCCATCTTCACTTTTTTGACCACCTCTGGGATTAGGAAAAAAACCAGAGTGGAAAACCCTTGTTCTTTCCTGAATAGGAAAAAACAAGATAATGTATTAGCTCAGGAGATGGGAGCAAAAAGCTCTCCCCCCCCCAAGTTAATATCTCCATCAGGAAAAGTGGAAACAAAACGTGAGGACTTGCAAAACTGAAGAAAGTTGGAAAGGTAAGGAAAATATTTTCCTGGAGACTGAGGAAATGAAATCACTAACTTTGACTCCAAATAGAGAGAGAAAAAGAGAAAAAAAGTATTACAATAACGTTCCTGACATTTGAACGATGCTGCAAACACAGCATTTTTCTAAAGAAAATCAAGCAGTTTATAGCTTGGAAAGAAAATGGTAGGGGTGGAGAGAACAGCATGATCTCAGCAGAATGTTGGTGATAACTGGAAGGTATTTTGGAATGTTCTTATTGCACAGTAAATTTAAACTGAGATAGGCTCTTAAAATCTTAAAACAGTTTTACAAAGTTAGAATGGTTCAGCTTTGAAATCAAGATGTCCTCTAGTCACTGCCAATGATTTCTTGTCATCCTATTTGGTTTCTACACATTAAGCCTAGTTTTATAGGAACATTTTAAATCTCAGATCAATATCACACTTGGTTTTTTGTTGGTTTGAAAGATCGTCTGTGCTTCTATTCATGGACAAGGGAAACTCCCAACTCTGTACTGACCAGAAAGCAAGGCTTCCTTTTCTTTCCTCTGATTTCTGAAATTGTCACAAGATCTGGAAGCTGCCCACTATTATTAAGGCTTAAAGAGAGGCAGGGTTTCTGTCTTTTTCCTGTCTCTCATTTCTAAAAACTAGCATCTACACAGCCTAAGAAGTGAATTCAATGTGCCCCAGCCAGTCATTCTGATTCTGACCAAATGACTTATGCTTTAAGACAGGAGTAGATAATAAATAACCATACATTAATAATATTTCAAAAGTATTTTAGACTATGAAAAATTGAATACTTTGGGTGATGCTATACAGACAACTAAATAAAAAGTATTGCATTAGAGTTGAGTGAACTGTGTTTTAAAATATTGCTAAAAGTCCTTTAAAAAACAGGTACCTCATTGTATTATTTTTATTGCAGTGTTTAAGTTTTTTAATTAACTGCATTAGCAGTTTGCTTACAGCTGCAGAATTTTTCATACAAGATAAAGCTGACACAAAAGCCTTTAAAACAAGTTAATTTCCAAAATGATTGTAATTAATGCATGAAAGCCAGAACTATCAGTATGTTTTTTGTTATGATAGCCAAATCCTGGAGTTATCAGAGCTTTGGTCTGCTCCAATAAAATACTTCTAATGTTATTGTGTTCATTCTTGAAATCTTTCCTAATTCCCAATGGAATTGATTATGCATAATATGGCAATAGAAGCACTTCTTATTAAACTTTTATTCACATAAATAATTGATTTATATTTTTTTAGGGCAAGAAAAAAGTATCTGTCCAACTCCCTGAATATATACCAATATTTTCAGACAAAATTCCCAATACTACCAATCGTGTAATTGGGAGCAGAATGAACACTGATCTTGGTAAAACGTTGATAAAAATGGACTATGTCCTCAATTATGGAAGAAGAAAAACAAAAACTGAGCAAGAACTCCAGCCTTCCTAGAATCAAATAGAAATCTTGCCGTTAAAAAAGTGCTTAGATTTTTTGAAGATTATACTTTTTGAAATAGGATTAATGTCAAAAACGTTGTGCACCTACCCTTCCAGACTTAATTCTTCTGCAGACTAGTCAGCAATGATGTTTAGCAAATTAAAGTTGATAGCAAAGTTTGCTAATATTATCCTTGAGAACGGTCACATGTAAACACCAGTCTTTACGGTTTCCAACATTTAGAAAACAGTGGTGCTGCATCGCATTCTTGAAAGCATAAACTGTATGAGGCTGTGTTGAGGTCTACTTTTTTCACTCAGTAGGAAAACTGTATTTCTTCCACCAAATTAAGCCTGAAATTTCATTGCAGATGAGAGCGCTGGCCTGTTATACATTGCAAGACTCGGCTGGGGCATCAAAATATATGTAAGTGCCATAGTGGCACAGTGCTTAGAATGCAGTTTTGCAGGCTAATTTTGCATTCGCAATGCCAGGAGTTTGATCCTGACTATCTCAAGTTTGGCTCAGCCTTCCATCCTTCTGAGATCAGTAAAATAAGGACTCAGATTGTTGGGGAGAATATGCTGATTCTGTAAACCGCTTAGAGAGGACTGTAAAGCACTGTGAAGTGGTATATAAGTCTAAGTGCACTTGCTATCTATTTGGGTTTTGTATGTGGTGCCAGCTAAAACGAAGGGTTAGGGGCAGGATAGGAGAAGGGACTGGACATCCAGGACACTCTGGAGATTGTCAGAGGCATTGCCCTGCAGATAGCCAGATGTGAGACCCTACTTGTGAGATTGAGCGTTAGAATTCAGTTAGAATTGCTACAGCTATACCAGCCACCCTAGTTCAGAGCAGCTTCTTTGCCTGGGCTGCTTAATGCTGTGCCAGTTGCAACTGTTCCTGGATTAGGGAGGCCTGCTTGCAATCACTCATGCCTTAATCAGACCCTGGTTGGATTATTGTAATGCATTTTATATGGAGCTGCTCTTAAAGACCCTCCAGGAGCTGCAACTGGTCTAGAATGCAGTGCTGTGTGAATTGATGAGCATACCTCAATACACCTATACAGCACCACTATTTTATAAATTGCACTTCTTCCCAGGAGGCTTCCAGGATGTTGATTATCATCTATAAAGCCTTACATGGCTCAGGACCGGATTATCTGCAACACTGCCTTTCTCCAATTATTTCTACCTGCCATGCTCTATTAAGATAGATACGCTTTAGGTCCCTTCCTTGAAACAATGCAACCTGAGGGGACCTAAGAGGCATGCCTTAGCTGTTGCAGCACCTGACTTCTGGAATGATCTTCCCGCAATATATGGGTTGGTCATGTCCTTGAGTGCTTTTTGAAAAGCACTAAAAATGAATTCTTCTTTTAGGTGTTAGGGCTAGGATGTTAGAAGCAAATGTGATTCCCTAGTTGTCCATTATTGTTGCAGTTTAATTGTATTTGATTTTTTGTTGTTTTATATTGGTACATACTGCCCAGGGTCATATTTGTGTGAGTTGAGCAGTCTTATGCTGTACATTTCTATATAGATGCAGAACCATTGCAATAAATAAAAAATAAAACCTCATAACCAGCTTCATTAAATGCCTTTGAATGTTCGTCATCAAGGATCGATGTAGCTTTCAGAATAATTCAGGAATTTACTTTGAAGTAAGCCGATCTCCAAATATATTGAACTTTCAAATGGTTTCCTGCAACGAAGAACAATTATATTTGTTAGAAAACTTGGCAATTGGCTTGAAATAAAATTGTCTTGTGCTTATTGACTTGGCCTTCTTCTAGTCTGGTTTCTTCTTTTTTTTAGTTCATATATGCCAATCAAGATCAGAAATGTACCTAGCTTTGTACTGCCTATCTAACCAGAATGGGTATTTACATATAGGGCAATTCATTTGTTTGTTTGGCAATCTGGAAAAGCATAGGAACTTTGACAGTTGAAATGCCCTGGACTAAAGTTATAGTTTTGGGCTTATAAAACCTGGATTAATGTAAGATTCTAGAAAACCAGGACTTTGGTAGCATCTTTTTTTACCATTTTTTTTTACCCATGTTGTCTAGTTGTAACATTATTATTATCCTTATCTTCTTTACTACAGATGTTGCTATGGAAACTCTCTACTACAGTAGTTTTTGGGCAACAAACCCCTTTTTGACCGGCATGGTGTCCAATGCATACCAAATGGCCAATTTCCCATTCTTTAATTTTGTCATTAGTTATGTTTTGTCCTGTGACTTGTGGGGGGGGGACAAGAAAGGGAATATAAACCAATCGGCTTAAGCAGCAGACACAACATCCGCCTACTGTTTACCTAAGAAACCATGCTAAAAGTTTGACTGCAAGACACCGGATGGCAGGCGATTTCTGGGCATGCTCGATAGGCACACCGGAAACAGTAAAAAAAGGCTTCCTTGCCGCAGATGTTAAGTTTCAGGAAACGAAGCCGCTGTCTTAAGGAAACTGCTGAGGGCTGCAGATTTAAGCTAACCTCACGATGCCAGAAAATTGGAATAAAATTTAAATAAAATAGATCCTCCTCCTCCTC